ATTTAGTTTCTCCCTTCCTCTGTCATCTGAGTTGGCTGGTTCTATTCTAGCCTGGATATTCCTGTACAATGCAGCAATCTGTCATGTAAATAGACCTCTAAGTCACTTTATGCCTGATACTTGGTGTTCTTCTGCGTGACTACATAGTTTTCATAGAAGCTTATTGGGTTTTTTCTTTATATCCTTGAAAGTAACTTTTATCAGGAGATGGAAATGTACAACTCAATACTTTGATTTCCATAGTTACAGAAAAATAATAAAGAGATCAAACCTTATCAAAAGTTTGAAATTGAATTTTATTTTTCTGATGGCTGAATATTGATAGACTTGTTTTATTGCTAGACATTTTTTTCCAAGCAGCAAATTTGTAGGATTTTAGTATCACTTGCCTGCTGATGTAGTAGCATTTTTAAAGCATTTGTTGAAATTTTTCATGCATTGATGATAAGCAAACTCACAAATTTAGTTTATTCATACAAATTTTCAAGCATCTGATGCACTGTCAATTTCAATAGAACTTTTACAATCTACAATCTGTAAATTACAAGTTAATTCCATCCAAATAGTATATCACCAAGGTCAGTCTGATGCTTATTTCCCTGCAGAAGTTAAGAGTGCAACCTTATAAAGCACTGAGAGTAGTTTAAATCCACAGACTATAACAAAGAAGGTAAAAGAAGGATTTACAAGGTCACAGACCCATGTAGATCAAAATAGACCCTCAGATCAACAAACAAAGTGAAATTAAACTCACAATGAACTCAGAGCCAGGGAAATGTTATATGAAGGTTTGGGGAGTAAGGGGGAAGCTTAGGTGACATAGTGTTGCTAAGACAGAGCTGAGCTCCTGCGATTTAGGGAACATCATTTACTTCAACTGAAGTGATACCAATGCTGAGAGGAAAAAAGTGGTGTCTTCTGCTTTCTTCTCCAGTATTTAAATACAGCTGTTAAAAAAGAAGTTCACTGTTTGCCTTCTTGGCAGTGTTTCTAGCAACTATTTTATGAAATCCAGAAAGCATCAGAACTGAAGTCCTAAAATTCTGTATTGCTTAATTTTACATCTACTAACTAAGACTTTTATTGCCTCAACTTTTTAGGTGTGAAAAAGAGAGGAATGTGTGCTTGTGTATCACACTGGGAGCAGCCCAATATGAATTTGAGAGCTAAGAAGTTAGGAATTGATCATATTATATGGAAGAAAGGGTAAGAATGTGTCCTGGGTTCCTCAGTAGCAGTCATGTTTTTTCCTTTGTGTTAACTGGTGCAGTGCTGTGTTTTGACTTCCAGCTTGAGAACAGTGTTGGTGAAGCCGATGTTTTTGGTTGTTGCTAAGTGATGTTTACCCTGACCAAGGACTCTGTGAGGCTCATGCTCTGCCAGGGAGGAGGGGAAGCTGTGAGGAAGCAGAGACGGGGCGCCTGACCCGGGCTAGCCGGGGAGGTATTCCATACCACAGCACGTCATGCCCGGGGTGAGGGGTAACTGGGAGTTACCCGGAAGGACAGGGGCTTCCGGGTGGAACTCGTTTTCTTGGCCGGTGGTATCATATTCTCTTCCCTTGTTATTTTCCCTTATCATTGTTTTAGCTGATAGTAGCGGCGGTGGTTTGTTGCTGGACTGTTTTTGTCTCAACCCGTAGGAGTTGCACTCTCTCGATCCTCCTCCCCGTTCCTCCGGGAGCGGGGAAGGGGAGAGCCCCGGTGCGGGGAGGCGGGGGGGGAGACGGACACGGACCTCGATTGTTGTCAGCTCGGCACCACTCACTGGGAGTGAGTGAACAAGCTACCTGACTGGGTTTAAACCACGACAGTTCTTTTTGGCTCCCAACGTGGGGCACGAGGGGTTGAGATAAGAACAGATCTGACAAGATTAACAGTCACTCGTCACAATGCTGATTTATTGGCTCTCAAGGTTGTTCCTCTTGATCTCACAGTTTCAGTATATAGTATCTTACGTCCATCCGGTACTTGCTGTATTAGTGTTTTTCAAGTGTGGGGCTTGGGCTAAGGTTTTTATCCCATTGTACTTTATGGTAATGACTTGTAATACAATAGAATCATTGATCATGAAACTGATCTGGCTTATGTTCCCAGTGTGGTCACCACCTTTATACTTTGGGAGGTATATGATGGAGGTGCTTAGCAATTACACATCTTTTTTCTCCTTCTCAGGTGCTCAACCTGGGAAGGAGACATCCTTTTACCCTCCTAGTCGTCCCCCCAGACCATTTACATTTGAGAGTTTTGAATTTTTTGAATGGCCTTTTAATGCTGTTGAGACTTGTTTGCTGATGGTGATGAGAATCACCATGCTAACACGCATACAGAGTGTGTTTTACCCACTACTGATTTCAAGAGTTAAGCAGATTCAGGTTTGGGTCTTGTCTGGGGTCAAACGACGATGTAGGAGGACCGAGAGATTTTCCCTGAGGCTGGACAGCCATGAGTGGCAGGGTGTGTGGGATAGTATGAGCAAGTATCTAGGTCAGTGGGCCCCTCCAGTACTTTGGAATTTCACTACCGAACAACTGCAAAATCCAGAAGAATTAGTAAAACACTTAAATGAGGTGTGTGGTCATTCTGGCCATACCAGAGATGGACAAATCACGGCAACGTGCTGGGGCTTGGCCTATGCTTACAGGGCCTTGTTCAACACTATCCAGCACCTTCAAAAGGAAAAGAATGTCGGCGGATCTGAGGGCAAAGCGACAGTCGCTACTCAAACTTTGGCTGCAATGAACAGCACAGCTACCCCAGTGGCAAGTACAGCAGCTGCTCAAACTTCAACTGCAACAGACAGCGCGGTTACCCCAGCTCCAAGCACAGTAGCTACACCACCCCCAGCAACAAGTACAGTTGCTACTCAAACCACAGTGATAATCACTGCAGCCAAACCAGAGGACCAATTCGTACCAATATCAGTTGCCCCTGTATGCAAGAGAACAAGCAAAAAGGAGGCAAAAAGGGTGAAGCGAGATGAAGAACCAATGAATTCACCACCCGGTCCAGAATCTGATCAGGAGTCATCATCACATGACGAAGAAGAAGAAGACCTCGGACCTCAACCCAGCTCCGGAATATGCGAAAAGATTTTACCCGTCAACCAGGGGAGCACATCGTCACCTGGTTACTCCGATGCTGGGACAATGGGGCCGATGGTCACGAACTAGAAGGTACAGAAGCCAAGCAGCTGGGATCACTTGCTAGAGAAGGGGGAATTGACCAAGCAATTGCAAGAGAGAAAAAGTCCCTCAGCCTTTGGAGGAGGCTCTTGGCAGCTGTGAAAGAAAGGTTTCCGTACAAGGACGATGTTACAAGTCGTTCGGCCAAGTGGACTACTATAGACAAAGGCATCCAGTCTCTGAGGGAATCGGCCATCGTAGAGATGATCTATCACATCAAGCCGAATAACGGGAATACACCTATAGATCCAGATGAAGTTGAATGTACACAACCCATGTGGCGAAAACTTACATGGAATGCACCGTCATCATATGCCCATTCATTGGCAACAGTGACCTGGAATGACATAGTACCACTAACAGTGGATGAAATGGTTCATAAACTCCGAGAGTTCGAAGACAATCTCACCCCTTCCATCATCTCAGCTGTGAAAAAACTGTCCCAGGACCTCGAACAATTGAAGGACAATCTATCTGATTTATCCGGCTCCTCACGTGTACCAACACACGTCTCAGCTATTAACAAAAGGCGTCCTATTGTTCAAGAGAGGAGATACAGAAGGTATACGCCACGGGGTACCCTATGGTTTTACCTGCTGGATCACGGAGAAGACATGACAAAGTGGGATGTAAAACCTACTTCAGCTTTGGAGGAACGGGTGAGTGAACTGAAGAGGGGAGCAAGGGCCAAGACTGATCGTCCCATGAGAGCTACGGCTTCAGTCTCTGGTGAGCAGTTTCCCAGATGGAGTGGAAGAGCTGATTTTACTCCAGCTCCTGTGATAACGAAGAATAATCCCTTTCAACACGACTTAAGTGTCCAACGCTGTGACGACCATTAGAGGGGCCCTGCCTCCAGCCAGGTGGAGGTAGGGGACAATCGGATTTACTGGACTGTGTGGATCAGATGGCCTGGCACATCAGTCCCACAGAAGTATAAGGCTCTAGTAGATACCAGTGCACAGTGTACCCTGATGCCATCAAGCTGTCAAGGGGTGGAACCCATCTATATTTCTGGAGTGACAGGAGGATCCCAAGAGTTGACTGTGCTGGAGGCTGAAATCAGCCTGACTGGGAGGGAATGGCAAAAGCACCCTATTGTGACTGGTCCAGAGGCTCCATGCATCCTCAGCATAGACTACCTCAAGAGAGGGTACTTCAAAGACCCAAAAGGGTACCGATGGGCTTTTGGTATTGCTGCTTTGGAGTCTGAGGAAATTGAGCAGCTGTCCACCTTGCCTGGTCTCTCAGAAGATCCCTCTGCTGTGGGGTTGCTGAAAGTTGAAGAACAGCAAGTGCCAATTGCGACCACAACAGTGCACCGGCGGCAATATCGCACCAACCGAGACTCCCTGATTCCCATCCATCAGCTGATCCGTAGACTGGAGAGTCAGGGGGTGATCAGCAGGACCCGCTCACCCTTCAATAGCCCCATATGGCCAGTGCGAAAGTCTAACGGAGAATGGAGACTAACAGTAGACTATCGTGGCCTGAATGAAGTCACACCACCATTGAGTGCTGCCGTACCGGACATGCTAGAACTTCAGTATGAACTAGAGTCAAAGGCAGCCAAGTGGTATGCCATGATTGATATTGCCAATGCATTTTTCTCAATTCCTTTGGCAGCAGAGTGCAGGTCACAGTTTGCTTTTACTTGGAAGGGTGTCCAGTTCACTTGGAACAGACTGCCCCAGGGGTGGAAACACAGCCCTATCATCTGTCATGGACTGATCCAGACTGCACTGGAACAGGGGCAAGCTCCAGAACACTTGCAATACATTGATGACGTTATCGTGTGGGGCGATAGAGTGGAAGAAGTCTTTGAGAAAGGGAGGAAAATAATCCAAATCCTGCTGAAAGCCGGTTTTGCCATAAAACGGAGTAAGGTCAAGGGACCTGCCCAGGAGATTCAATTTTTGGGAATAAAATGGCAAGATGGACGTAGACAGATCCCCACAGATGTGATCAACAAGATAACAGCAATGTCTCCACCAACTAATAAGAAAGAAACGCAAGCTTTCTTGGGTGCAGTGGGGTTCTGGAAAATGCACATCCCAAATTACAGTTCGATTGTAAGCCCCCTCTATCATGTGACCCAGAAGAAGAATGATTTTAAATGGGGCCCTGAGCAGCAACAAGCCTTTGAGCAAATTAAACGCGAGATAGTTCATGCAGTAGCCCTTGGACCAGTCCGGACTGGGCCAGATGTAAAAAATGTACTGTACACTGCAGCTGGGGAGAACGGTCCTACCTGGAGCCTCTGGCAGAAAGCTGCAGGGGAGACTCGAGGTCGACCCCTCGGCTTTTGGAGTTGGGGATACAAAGGATCTGAGGCCAGCTATACCCCAACTGAGAAAGAGATACTGGCAGCCTATGAAGGGGTTCGAGCTGCTTCGGAAGTGATTGGCACTGAAGCACAGCTCCTCCTGGCACCCCGGCTGCCCGTGCTGGGCTGGATGTTCAAAGGCAGGGTCTCCTCTACACATCATGCAACCGATGCTACATGGAGTAAATGGGCTGCACTAATTACACAACGAACTCGAATAGGAAATCTCAGTCGTCCAGGCATTCTGGAAGTTATCACGGACTGGCCAGAGGGCAAAGATTTTGGAATGTCACCAGAGGAGGAGGTGATGCGCGCTGAAGAGGCCCCACCATATAATAAACTGTCAGAAAGTGAAAAGCAGTATGCCTTGTTTACTGATGGTTCTTGCCGTATTGTGGGAAAGCATCGGGGATGGAAGGCAGCTGTATGGAGTCCTGGACGACAAGTTGCAGAAACTGCTGAAGGAGAGGGTGAATCGAGTCAGTTTGCTGAGGTGAAAGCCATCCAGCTGGCCCTGGACATTGCTGAACGAGAAAAGTGGCCAGTACTTTATACTGACTCATGGATGGTGGCAAATGCCCTGTGGGGGTGGTTGAAGCAATGGAAGCAGAGCAACTGGCAACACAGAGGTAAACCCATCTGGGCTGCTGCACTGTGGAAAGATATTGCTGCCAGGGTGCAGAACCTGGTGGTGAAGGTACGTCATGTAGATGCCCATGTACCCAAGAGTCAGGCCGCTGAGGAACACCAGAACAACCAACAAGTGGATAAAGCGGCTAAGATTGAAGTGGCTCAGATGGACTTAGATTGGCAACATAAAGGTGAATTATTTTTGGCCCGGTGGGCCCATGACACTTCAGGCCATCAGGGCAGAGATGCAACATATAGATGGGCCCGTGACCAAGGGGTGGACTTAACAATGGACACTATTGCCCAGGTTATTCATGAGTGTGAAACATGTGCTGCAATTAAACAAGCCAAGCGGTTAAAGCCTCTTTGGTATGGAGGACGATGGTTGAAGTATAAATATGGGGAGGCCTGGCAGATTGACTATATCACACTGCCACCAACCCGCCAAGGCAAGCGCCACGTGCTTACCATGGTGGAAGCAACCACCGGGTGGCTGGAAACATACACTGTGCCCCATGCCACTGCCCGGAACACTATCGTGGGCCTTGAGAAACAGATTTTGTGGTGACACGGCACCCCAGAGAGAATTGAGTCAGACAATGGGACTCATTTCCGGAATAACCTTATAGATATTTGGGCCAAAGAGCATGGCATTGAGTGGGTATATCACATCCCCTACCATGCACTAGCCTCTGGGAAAATCGAATGGTACAATGGGCTGTTAAAAACTACACTGAGAGCAATGGGTGGGGGAACTTTCAAGCATTGCGATACACAGTTACCAAAGGTCACCTGGCTGGTCAACACCAGAGGATCTGCCAACAGGGCTGGCCCAGCCCAGTCAAAACTTTTACATATTGTAGAGGGGGACAAAGTTCCCGTGGTGCATATGAAGAATTTGCTGGGGAAGACAGTCTGGGTTATTCCTGCTTCAGGTAAAGGCAAACCCACTCGTGGGATTGCTTTTGCTCAGGGACCTGGATATACCTGGTGGGTAATGCGGGAAGATGGGGAAGTCCGATGTATACCTCAAGGGGATTTGATTTTAGGGGAAAACAGCCAGTGAATTGTATGCTGTTGCCTGCTGTGTAATGCTTTTATAGCCCATCAACTAGATGTCTCCAGGTCACCAACGACTGGCCCTGACTTCCCTCCAGCCATCATCCCAACAGAGAATGAACTTTGAACATCATGGACCGAATGGACTCGGCAGCATTATAGGGATTGGTCCATGCACTAAGAAAATGATTTTTTCCTCTTGGTCTGTATGTATATGGATGTATATATGTGGGAGAGCGATGGTGTATTGAAAATGTGGGATCTGAGCACGACGTGAATGGTATGGAATAAGGGGTGGATAATGTCCTGGGTTCCTCAGTAGCAGTCATGTTTTTCCTTTGTGTTAACTGGTGCAGTGCTGTGTTTTGACTTCCAGCTTGAGAACAGTGTTGGTGAAGCCGATGTTTTTGGTTGTTGCTAAGTGATGTTTACCCTGACCAAGGACTCTGTGAGGCTCATGCTCTGCCAGGGAGGAGGGGAAGCTGTGAGGAAGCAGAGACGGGGCGCCTGACCCGGGCTAGCCGGGGAGGTATTCCATACCACAGCACGTCATGCCCGGGGTGAGGGGTAACTGGGAGTTACCCGGAAGGACAGGGGCTTCCGGGTGGAACTCGTTTTCTTGGCCGGTGGTATCGTATTCTCTTCCCTTGTTATTTTCCCTTATCATTGTTTTAGCTGATAGTAGTGGTGGTGATTTGTTGCTGGACTGTTTTTGTCTCAACCCGTAGGAGTTGCACTCTCTCGATCCTCCTCCCCGTTCCTCCGGGAGCGGGGAAGGGGAGAGCCCCGGTGCGGGGAGGCGGGGGGGGAGACGGACACGGACCTCGATTGTTGTCAGCTCGGCACCACTCACTGGGAGTGAGTGAACAAGCTACCTGACTGGGTTTAAACCACGACAGAATGAAAACTCTTTAGCTCACCTTCTTAAATCTGTGGCTAGATGGGGAGGCACAAGCATAAAATGTAAAGTACAAATAGAAGTGCAAAGAGCTGGAACACGTTCCAATTAATAAAAAAATAAAAAATAAAAAATAAAATCTGAAAGAGAACTCTCAGGATTTAAATAACATGTATGTTCTGTACAAAAATAATTAACTAAAATATACTTGACATTAAAAAAAATCTGTCTTGATATTTCTGATAAAAAAAATTGTCATCCTTTTAATAAACAGAATTATGTTGAAATCTAATATACCTCCTTTACACAGATAAAAGGTTAACCAGCATCCTTTAAAAATTCTGGGAATGATTTATAAAGGATACATTCAACTCAGTTTTGTGGCTTGAAGATTATATTTACAAGATAGATTTTTTTTTTTTTTTTTTTACCAGACTGTAGGTTTACAGTATAAATCTCTGTCTTTATGGTAGTCTTTCTAAACTGTTTTTCAATTAAAAGAAAAATGTGTTTTGACTATATGAGCCACCTGACCTGTTTTAAATAATGTGGACAAGCAGACAGGAGCACCAGATAAGCAATTTCGTAAACTGCCTTTGCCAGAGGACACTTCATTTTGGGCAATTTCAGGTTGAATGGATCTGATAAAGCATTCATAATATAGAGAGCACTGTGGGCTTTTAACAATGTCTCAAAATACATATTAGATACTGGAAAGACAACACAAATATTCATCTAAATTACTGAGGACAAAATTTCATCTGGTCTCTTCTTTTTCATTTTTGATCATCTTATAGAAATCAAATGGAAAGTCTCCCTTTGACTTCACTGAATTTTAAATTAGACCTTAATGTGTTTCAAAAGGTAACTGCAAAATCAAGCATGAAGTATGCATGTGCAAATGTCCTTTCTTTTTATACAAAATTGGCAACTAATGAAATTTTGCATGAACCCAATAAAAGATGCAGCTGAAAATGCTGGCACATAGCACTTAGTTTGAGATTTTTTCTATGCAGTTGACATGAAAGAACTTTTTCCTGATGTTTATCCCAAGTAATTAAAAATAAAACCTAAGAAAAAATAAGCCAAAGATATTGTGAGGAAAAAATAAGCATTCAGAAGAAAATTAAAAATGGAAAAAAAACCCACCCTATTTTTCCACAATGGTGTTCATTAATGTCAATATTATCTCCAGTGAAAAGTCAGTTTTGGAACTTAAAGTACTTTTTTTTTTTACAACAACTTTCTGGACCTACTCTTACTGAATTTCAGCTATTATTTTGTTACATTACTCGTCATTGAAAAGGGAAAGAAAACACAGACATTTACGTTTTCTGTCCTGTATACACACTCTTACTTCTGTTTTTTTTTGTTGTTCCAACTATGTTTTTCTTTTCTTACACAAAGCTCACTTACGTTAGTTTCGGTTTAGATTCTAAGTTTTTCGTGATTGAAACTGTGCCTTAATGTTCTGGGTTAAGGTGGTATAATTTTCTTCATAGTAACACAGATGATGCTATGTTTTGGATTTGTGATGAAAGTGGTGTTGATAACACACCCAACTTTTAACAGTTGCTGAGCAGTGCTTACACAGCAAAGGCTTTTTCTGCTCCCCCGACTCTCCCCAACCAGTGAGTGGGCTGGGGGTGCACAAGAAATTGGGAGGGGACATGCCAGGACAGATGATCCAACTGACACAAGGGTTATTCCACACCATAAGGTGTCATGCTTAGCAATAGAAGCTGGGGAGGAAGGAGGAAGGGGAATGTTTGGAGTGATCGCCTGTGTCTTCCCAAATAACCGTTACATGTGATGGAGCCCTGCTTTCCTGGGGCTGGGTGAACAGCTACCCGATGATGGGAAGTAGTGAATGAATTCCTTGGTTTGCTTTGCTCGTGTGTGCAGCTTTTTGCTTTACCTACTAAACTGTCTTTATCTCAACCCTCAAGTTTTCTCACTTTAATCCTTCCAGTTCTTTCCCCCATCACACTGGGGGTAAGGTACTGAGTGGCTGTGTGGCGCTGAACTGCCTCCCAGGGTTAACACACACCACTTGTGTATCAGATAATTGAAATTCGAATGCACTTTTGTTTGTCAGTAAAATTTAAATAATTACTAATAGCTCCAAGGGGAAATCTGAGGGTGGCTGTATATGTTCATACTTTATTTTCTGGAAGGTGCTTGTGTCTATTAACACATTTCAAAGAATGTGATGAACTCTTGGCTGTTTTACAGAATTAGAGGTTGTAGACCCTGGAGAAGAGCAGAATGATCCTCTAAACTGGCCTGCTATACAACACAGTGTATCAGAGTATCCTTGTAAGTCATTTTTCTGCAGCAGAACAATGCTGCAGAATCCAAAAATAAGAAGAGCTGGTGAACTCTCCATAGTTCTTGTTGTTCCAATGACTAATGACAACAGCTCTTAAATATTGTTTCTTTCTTTTCCTAGACAGATTTCATGAAGTTTCATCTACTACGTTTTGCCAATTTGACGAGTCCATTTCCAAGGTTTTCTTTCTTGTGTAAGGATTTATACTGACTGACAAACATATTTTGCAGGCTAGAATGCAAAGGCTAAACACTGTTATAAAGGTCAAGGTTAATATTGATAGTGATGCATTTGCCACTCAGGCTTGAAAAGCATGAGTTCTCACTCAGCTCTCATCTATAGAGGCATAACTAATGAACAGGTTGAAACCACACACATTATCTGAAACCTGATGCAAAAACGACTAAGGTAGTTTCACTTAAAAGAGAACATAAAGAATTTTCTTACAGGTCAAACCAGTGGTCTATCTAGCTCAGCACTGTGACTCCAGCAGTGGCTATACAAGATTTAATTCAGACATACTGCAAAATCTACACACTTTTTGTCAAACGTATCCAGTATCTACAATTACTGTATTAGGACATGAGATCATACATTCTCACCTTTTCCTCTTAATATCCACTTCTAGATCTATGAATTTGCCTATGAAGATGCATTTTTTATGGGATATAAGTAGATATTATGTATCTATTTTTAGACCTATGAATCCACTCACAGTTTATGAATTTCACTAATCTCTTTTTGAAGCTTCTAGTGTTATCAGTATTCACAAAATCTGGCTTGAAACCCACAGCACCTGATTCCAGTTCACTGTCTATGTGTAATGTATTTAACTCATTTAAACTAATCTCCTCTTAGTTCTTGTGTATTTCCTTTTCTTCTAATATTGTGTGATCCAGTGAACAACAGCTCTACATTCAGCTTGAACATCAGATTCTTACTTTTTAAGCCTTTCTCAGAATCCTACCTTTTTAGTCCTCTCCTCTCCTTCCCACATCTTAGTTTCCCTTCTCTGTATTTGCTGTGATCCTGACACATCTTGAGATGTGGGCATCAGAAGTACACAAACAGAATCATAGAATCATAGCATAGTTTGGGTTGGAAGAGACATTAAAGATCATCTAGTTCTAGCCCTCTTGCCAAGTGGCCCTCCTCTAGACCCTTTCCAGCAGGTCCATATCTTTCCTGTACTGAGGACTTGAGAGCTGGTTGCAGTATTCCAGGGGGAATCTCACCAGGACAAAGTAGAGGAAAGAGTCACCTCCCTATTCAAAATACAGAATCACCAAGTTTTCAGGTAGCACCAAAATGATGACCTCTGCCTTGCCCATAGTATTCTTCCTGCTGAGTACTTTTTATTGGTTCTTTTTTTTTTTAGCTGCTGCTGCACTTTAAGATGATGATGATGATGAACCT